GACAGGGAAAAAGACTCAATTTTTTGAGAAAATATCAGATTGGGAAAGGTGCCTCTTGAAAGATTCCCTTTTTTTCCTCATTCCTGTTAGCTGGCAGAATATTGTCTTATCCTAGAGCCAGGGTAGATTATGGGGTTATCAGACAAAGAATGCACGTAACATATGCAAGGAAATTTTACTTTGGTTAAAGAAACAACTTTTCTGCTCCCCAAAACAAGAGGATACAAGGGATGGATCTCCAGGTGAAAGAACTCCATAATAAGGAATTAACAATGGGGAAAACTGAGGAGATGCCCATTTATCTGGGGAACCATGAAAGTCCCTAAGTTTTAGCTTGTCCTTTCTACTCTTTCAAGAAATTGCAGTATCTTATGTAGTTATTTCATCAAAGAAATAATACATTCATCTCTGCAACATATAACAACATAGGTTTATTCCAGATGACTGGAAAATGTATCATAACTTAACATTTTATTAAAAATGAAAAAGGGCAGAAAACTTATCCTGTGGTTCAAAATAGAACAATGAGTTGGTGCCTTATAGTTACAAGATTTGGAGACCTTTTAAGAAGGGAAAAATGTTGACTTTATTATGGGCAACTGGAGGTTTATTCCATTTCACTGGGTTTTTCTTTATTCTCATTATGCATGCAATTATATCTACCTTCCATGAGTTATTTCTAGTTGATTTTTCTTGCTTGTTTTGTCCTGTGGTTGTATATGTCAGCTCTGTAGCCTCGGGTTTGCAGTTCTGATGGTAGCTGCTAATGTGCCTCAGTGCCTCAGTGTCGTGTCTTGTTCTTGGAAAGTGGCATCCTTAATCAAGTAGTATTTGCTTTGCTAGAGAATCAGTGAATTACGTGCTGATCATAGACAGTGTCTGTAGAGTCTAAACAAATGAGGTTGTCCTGAGAACTTAGTGATTTCTTTCTTTCCAAATTAATGGTCTTCCTTCCTTTGCCAAATCCTGAAACTCCTCTCTGCATTGGATGCCAGAAGAGTTTTGAATTTTTATCTGGAGAGAAAGCAACATATTAAATGGACAGAAAACATTTGTATCTAAGACAGATAAAGCATCCACCTGTATTTCACTGTTTTAGTTCTCTAATTTGGATGTTTTTGTGTCTCTAAGAAACATTGAAGCCCAGGGCAGATGCTTTTTTTTTTTTTTTTTTCCATTAAAAGGAAAGAGGATGTTATTCATTGTGCTGATAATGTGGGAAAAACTCTAGGAAATAATATTGCGTAAATGAGTCTTTACAAAGTATCCAAAAGACATTTCTAGGCCAGAAATTGGAGCCCTTAGGATTACTGAAACAGAACTACAATACTATTGCAATTAATTGTTTAAAAATGCCTCTAAAATTAAACAAAAATCTGAATAATAAGCTGACATCTTGCAGTACTGCAGTTTTAAAGTTGAATTATCAGTTATTGCCATATTAGAGCAATGGAGGCAATCTGTTTAGTAGGTGAATTTATATAAGTATTTATACCACAATTTTGAGGTCTTAATTCTTATAAAGCACTAAATACATATTCCTGATTTCTAGTGCCAGTGGATACTATGTAGTATCTTTGCATTTGGCCTTAGTTCCGTTGTAGGTATATGTTTAGATGAGAGCTTGGGAAGACTTCTTTAGAAATTTTTTTACTTCACTTGCATATTAATACAAGTTTCCATATTGCATTCCATATTAAGTTATTAATTCCAAGTTTCTTACTTGGAAATAGTTTCATACTCTAGTTTTCTCACCATCATGTTGTATCTTATATGCCACTTTGTAATTATTTTTTTTTAAGCATAATTGTGTGCTGTTTATACTGAAAAAATATTTGACTACATCATAAGAAGAGTTATTTCATGTACATCAACTGTGCATAAAACAAGTCTTTCTTTGAACCTCTTTCCAGAACTGTGAGAACATGGGATGTTAACAATGAAAAAAAGCACAAAGGCGTATTTAAACCTCGATCAGTTCAAGGTAAACGAGTGATTCCTACAACTTGCACATACAGCAGAGATGGTAAACTTATTGCAGCTGGCTGTCAGGACGGCTCCATTCAGATCTGGGATAGGAATATGAGTGTAAGTCAAGCATATGGTAACAGTACAGACTTTTAATGTACAAAGTGCTGAATGTTGAAATGTTGAGCTGATAAAATTGGTTTGGGTATTTTTATTCTCTTTCATATTTTTATGTATATATATATATATATGTGATGCTTATGGAAAAAGCTGACATTTCTTTTTGTTTCCTAAGTAATTAAAAAGCTATATTTCCACATTTATTTGAAATATTCAATACATTGGGCAGTAATTAGTAAAACTTCATACTGAAATCAGTTATTCATCTAGATAATATGCAGAGGACAAGAGTGTCCAATTGGGTAAGTATAATGCTGCACTTATACCAATTTCTATTATATTACTCAAAATGTAAAATTTAACATTAAAATGTTAATGCCTTTCTGTGGAAAGGCAGTTTGGTCAGAAAGAATGAGAATTAGAACTATTTAGTTTTTTTTTTAAACTGTGCAAAATGATGAAAATAGGCTATTTGTAATTTAATTGTCTTGTTCATGTTCAGCTTGAAATATTTTTTCCATTATTTAGGAATCTAAATAACTAGGGTACCTAAAATTCATATTACTGCTTTATCATTCAAACGTAGGAGCAATCAGACCTCTCTATTGCTTTGGGTAGTGAAGTTTACAAACCAGGCCAGTTCCAAAGGCTTAGCTGACAATACAAATACACTCATCAGGATTTTCCTGGCTTTCAAATTTAATGGTTGAATATCTCATCTGTACCCTCTTATCCAGAGAAATGGTTCCCTAGTCTTGCGTCCCTTTGACTTCAATGGGATAAATGCTTATGGCAAGTATAGCAGGAGAAAATGTAATTAGGGTCAGTTTGTTTGGAAGCCAAAAATAAGAATATGGATGAATAAGCTAAAAAAAAAAAAAAAAATCCTTAGAATCACTGAAATCATAAATCTTTCAAAGCTTTGCAACTCCAGTAGAATAGGATGGGTCTGGGGAAATAATACTGAATTAATGTAATTTATATTAGTCTGTTCAACTTCATCTTTCAAAACATTTAATTTTAAAAGGCAAAACAGACAACTTAGGGAACTTTGCACAAAGATTGAATAAAACTTGATTGTTGAGGATGAGGAGAAATGTGCAGATGTAAAGGAAAAGAAAGAGGGCTGATCATATTCAAAGTACAGCCTGTGTTTTTGGGTTGTCGTCTATTTTTATTTCTGTTTTTATTTCCACTATAAACCCAGTAAAACTTCCTAATGGCATGAAGCTTGAGAATTCATCCTAAGTGTAAACTTGTTCTAACAGAATAATAAATTTTTCAGAGACTGGCTTTCATCACCTGTGTATGCTGTTTATTTTAACATACACAATATTGAAATATTAAGCTTTCTGGTGTAGCTTTAACAATAGTGCTCTTGGTAGTCTGCTTTTTCATGCTTTTCCTTTTGAACTTTTGTGTGTCTGTAAGATGACATATTGCAATGCTGATTGAGTGCAGTTTAAGGTGATTATGAATAATTTAAAGATATATCCTGTGCATCTTGTACAATTTCCAACTGGTGACCTCTCTGTAACAATGCAAGTTTAAAGAGATTTCCTAGTTGATAGTGTCCTTGAATTTACATTTACAAAATTTTTCTCTTCACTTGTTGTGCAGAAATTTGCAGCTTTTCCAAAAGCTTCAGTAGTGAATTGTGTTTCAATGACACACTTACAGAAAGATGCCAGTACCATTTGGAAGTGTCTTCATAGTTAAAATTAGGCACTTCAAAAGGCATCTTGCTGGAATAAGACAATAAAAAAGAAAGACCCTTCAGCTTACATTACCAGAGTAGAAATAAAAAATAAATTAAAAGGAACATGTGACTGTATAAGTACTAACAAAGTGTTCATTGTAGGATTTAGAGAGAGAAGGATGAGGCTGAATTCTGCACTGGAATGGTGAGGCACTTACAAGCCTGACAGAGGGTGCAGAGCTGCTTGCCAAGGGGAACCATAAAATGTTGAAGGCCTATTAGCATAGTGCAGTTCTGGGGGTACAAGCAACTGTAGATGAGACAGGAAAATAGGTAACGAAAGCTGTAAGAATCAAGAAGCTAGAGCTAAGCTGTTTGAAGAAGTAAATAGGAGAAATATTAACTTTTGATTGTTAAAGAAATTTTTAATTTCCAACCACCAAATATTATTTTACTTTTCAAAGTGGTATAGAGCTCTGTACATAGATTTTTGCATACTACAATGCAGTTATTTTTCATGTCAAAATTAAAGCAGCATTTGTATTTAATATTAAATGCAAATTTAAGATGTAATTAAAATAGAGACTGTATTGAATCTGTTTTTTTTAAAAAAGTGTTTGAAGGGAGAAAAGTAGTTTCTTATATTTCATCAGTTAGGAAAGATTCTTCCATCATTATTGTAGCTTATGGATTTGGTACAGACAACGCAGGAAAAAGGACAAATTCGGAAAGGTATTTTGAGTTAGAAGCAAGTTTCTTTGTCCTTACTCCAGCAGAGCTGTCATGCCAGAGCTGATCCAATGTGGGCCTGCTTTGACAGTCCAAATTTATTTTCCCTTTTAAGCAAAAATTTGAGAGGCATTTCTACCCTGTCACTGACCTGTCCTCCTGCATGGGAGGGTAAGAGCGCAAAGCAAACGCAGAGTGGTTTCCCTGTCAGGTATGTGGGCCGAGGCCACTGTGCATGGTGCCGCCATCCCTGCATCTGCAAAAGTGACCAGGGAGGTTTGGTTTTGAGACACCAGTAGGTTAGTTGACCTTATTCCTCAAGATGCAGACAAGAGTCAAAGCTCTTACAACATCAGAGCTTCAAGGAGATGGCAGTTTCTTTCCTTGCTCCAATGAAAGCAAAATATCCCTGCTTTCCCATATGAAACCAGTGATTATCCCTGGAATGGAGGCAAGTCTAATAGTGCTCTTTGCTCAAGCAAAAGGGGCTCTTGGTTCCTGGCGCTGGCAGGAAGCCCCTGTTTTGCCCTGGCAGTTCGTGAAGTCCCTACCTCTGTGCAAGGTGGCAGAGGCAACCTGGCAAAGCTCCTGGGAATGTTCTCTTGCCACCATAGACATGGCTTCTCACTGCTGACTTTATTATCCTCTGCTCCAGGCATGACCTGAGAGCTTCACACCTCATTTAGGTTTACTAAAGGGCAAATGTAAAAAACAACAGTTAATAAACTGAGGCACTGCTAGCGTGAACAGAGTGTTCAGGTGTCACACTGGCTTGTACTAGTGAGCAAGATGCTGAGTGGAGTCTCTCTTTGTAAACCTTGATCTTGGGGTGCTGCAGTAAAAATAGATTTTCCAGCAGAATCCCCCTCTCTGCCCTGACAACACTTTGTGTTCACTGCTCAGTAGTGTAGGAATTTGTCCACAACGGTGATGTGAAGTAGTTCCTTGGGGGGGAAAATATATGTAAAAAAATATATACTTATTTTAAAGGGATCCTTTCTATCCCATATTTTATCATCTGGGTCTTTTTTTAGTTCAGAATCAGCGTAACTATTTGTTGTGAGTTACGGTCAAGAGTTAACTGTTTTTTCCAAGGCGCTTACAGCTCCTTAGGTATTTACCTTTTTTCTTAATTATAGTGTTGTGTCTGGCAAATGATTTTGGTGTGTGATCAATTTTCCTTCTTTTGTTCTGACTAGTCACACACACACAGAGTGAATATTTCATTCAGTTTTCTTCTCCCACTGTTTTTTTGGTGCTATTCCAAGTCTCCCAGCTGTATGTAGTGAGAGTAAAACACTTTTGGAAGAACACTTCTTTTTTTTTTTTTTTTTTTTTTTTTTTTTTTGTATTATTTTCTCATGCATGTTATTTGGTCAGTGCATGGTTTTTCTTTAAGGTTCACGCACATGTACATTTACGGTGCACATTAGCAGAACTATCTGTCAACTTGTTTGAAAGATTGTGAACACTGTCAACTTGGCTTAAAATAACAGCTTCAAAGGGCGTAAAAAATAACTTCCTTCAAACTTCCAATGAATGGTGGAAACAATAGTGTGAAATAATCATAGCATAGCACATTAGAAGAATCTTAATTTAAATATTCTGAGAAATGAAGAAGAGTGTCTGGCAAGTGTGGATGGTTGGAGAAATTTGGTCATAAGTAAGACAGAACCTTGAAAATTATTGATTCACAGAAGAATGCAGTAAAACTGCAATATGTTCCATTTGCTGACTTTGCTTGTGCTTACCAATTCAGAAATTCTTGCAGTGCTGCACATTGCTGAGCAAGCTGATCCATGGAGCTAGACTTTCATATCAAGAATTACATGTGTTTTTCAATCATTAAACATCTGTGTACACCAGTTTTCCCCTCTAGAAATGGGAGTTCTCCTTCATAGAGATGCTGAGAGCCTGAGGTGTCTTGTAAAAGCTATATTTGTCGGGCAGATTAACAATCTATGGTGACTTCAGTTTGATTGAAGTACCTTTTAACTTCTGAATATGGAAAGCTCCCATCATTTTTCACATTAACTGGGAAAAGATCAAGATCTTTTTAATTGCTTGCAGTTAGGATTTGTCGGGTGGAGAAAGAATAGTAGTCTCTAACTTTTGAACCACCTTACAAAAAAGCTGCCAGTTATATGATGGAGGACAACTTCATCACCTCTTTCTGTATACGTTCAACCTTGGAGAAGAACAGCTTCTTCGCAGATGACATGCTGAATCCTGTTTCTCACTTTCACACTTCAGATAGTTTTTGGAAATATTTCTGTAGTAATGATACAGTAATTTCAGTAATGGTATTGCAGAGGCAAACTTTTAAGGAGGAATGGGATCTTTTATATGCCTTCAAGAATAAGAAAAACAGCCCATACACCCAAAAACTTTCTATCCAACCCTATTAGTTTTAGAGACCTTACTTACCTTGCTAATTTTTATAGACTGTTAGGTATCTGACAGCTGCAGTGTAAATAATAAAGAATTACTGAAGAATTAGCTTTGGCAAATATGTCAGTAGTAGATTTATATGTCATAAATCTGAACAGGAAATTTGTAATGTATTATGATT